ATATTCAATAATTGCGTCGTGTATAGTTCACGGGCCTATGGGCCTTTTTTGGATTCAAGAGTTTTGCAATGCGAGGCCCAATTTCAGGACTTGAAAAATAATTAGTTTTGTTAAAAAAAATATTCTGAAATCGAATCAAACTGAATCCGTAACATGAATGATCAAAATGATGTGGACAAATGAGACATGATGCTTATTTCCTTTAAAAAAAAAAAAAAAAAAAAACAAAGAGTCAATTGGCTGGCATCGTTGTGTATGAAGATATCAGGCAGGCGGGCAAGAAGAATTTTTGTGAACTTGAAATGTTAGAATATATTTACATATATTAAGAAAAATTATCAAAGAATTAAGAAAAAACATAGCATATAGAGAAACTTCTATCAAATAAATTTGTTTACGTGAACTATATGATATTTATGAGGAAATGCAGAAGGAGAGGTGGAGGTTGGGACCAAATTTTACAAAGTGAGAGGAATAGAGTTATTTTCATCCTTGGCAATAAAAATGTGAAAAAGTAAAAAAAGCAGCACCACCCATTCCTAGTCATCTTTGTAGACCAAAGTCGGGTACTCGGGACTCCACATGTTGTTTTCCACGTACTCGAGGATCTCCTCCTGCACATCATCATCATCACCATCATCATCACCATCATCATCATCATCATCATCATCATCATCATCATTTTAATTGCTTTATATAACCAAATACAAATACCCAAAAGAGTGTTTTTTTTCTTTGCTGGTTCTTTTTGGACATAAAGTAAAACAAGAGAGAGAGAGAGGGAGAGAGCTTACATGGTTAAGCCTGAGAAGCTCACGAGCGTCCATTTCCCTGTAGCCGCCGGCAAGGTCCTCCTCTATTGCTTCTTTCACGACCGCAGCAGCTATTCTTTTTGTTATGTCCCTTATCCTGCACACACCACCATTCACCATCACCGACCGACCAGACCAACCTTTCTTATTACCTCATCGCTCATCATACCTCGATATCGGAGGATATATTATCCCTTTCAGCACCTCCTCTTCACTCATGTATCCCGCTAGGCTGCAAATATTAACTCGCACGGATTCACGATTTAGGATTACTCGATGGTCGTTTATACATCCCCTTTCGAGTTCTCTTCTCCTCAGAAATTATGCATGAGTTTTCATCCATTGGTTTTACCATGATTGATCTTGGTATAGTAGTATTTGTTTGTTGGCTTCGAGCATTAAGGCTAACGAGGTAGTATGCTATGTTCTCACATTGGTCAAGCACGAGAGACTAGTCAGCCACGGTTTAGACCTATCAAACTGAATCCCATTAAAAACTAGCTTCCAAGGACGAGCGCTGCTAGTCATGGACTCAGCAATTGACAAATGACGACTACGCACTAGGAAAATAAAACATCCTAATAACACAGGCTTTTGGCCATGTACCTTAAACTATGTCTGAAACATTAACTAGAAGGATATAACACTTTCCCAAAAGGATAGAGAAAGGAACTTACCACTCAGCTGCAGCCTGAAGCATCCCGTCAGATACGATTGGAGAACCAGATAGGAGAGTGCCAAGTCCAATACTGCAGAACAAAAGTCAAAAACCTCTCTCGATGATGACTAATGAATCCAGTAGAGGACGTATGTCATTCTTTGTAAAGCTAAGCTAAATAATCTGAACTAACCCAGGAAAGAGGTACATATTGTTCCCTTGGTTGCAATGCCCCACGTGTCCATTCCCTGCCGCAATAAAGCCGTAGGTAAAGATGAAAGATCTCAGAATCACAAAGGATATTCCAAAGATCTAGGCCAGTCCACATGAGACTAATTCCAAGATGCAGGTACATCTCACAAATGTGCGTAACGTTTGATATAGCAGGCATTGTACATACCGAAATCTACGTTCTTAAAAGGGCTTCCGCTCGCAAAGATGATATTGTCGCCTAAAACAGAGAAGGCCTCTTGTGGAGTGCATTCAGCTGCAATGCCAAGTGTGGACAAGTGTTACATCAAAGGTAGCAAAAGAATCACAAACTCCTGCATACCGATTCTCTATGCAAGGCAACTCACCATTTTTTGTGGGGTTGGACATTGCAAAAATAGCAGGTCTTGTCGATGTTGAACCTTTCATTGCTTCCAAAACCTGATATATATAGCACATCAGTAACGGCTTCTGAAACATGAAGTCCAATATGTCAGAATTATTCAAGCTAGCAGCGCCAAAGCCTTCTCAATCTGTGTTTTCTAATTGATGTCGCTCACCCAGCCAGCAGTATAAAGGTGCTCATATGATGATTACACTGCATTTGTTGCTGATCAAAATAAACTCTTGGAAGTTCCATTACCGATTCTGTAGCATATCACTGAATATTTTTTATGCAACTATGGTCTGTCCCTCCTTACCTCCTTTGAGAATAATCCTCCAACTGCAGATAACCCGAGAAGCACATCAGGCTTCACTTGCCGTACCTGGCCAAAAACAAATTATTTAGTTTCTTGTCTCGGCATTGTGCAGGAGTTTTTGACGTGAAAGTGAGGTCCTTTTGTAACTCCAACATTAATTCATTATATCAGAACTGACTACCGCAGTTTGTTTTAGCATGTATGACAGACATATTGATGAAGGGAAGAATATCACGAACCACTTCAACAAGACTTGCACCTTCCTTTAGTCCCTGACGCTCAATTTCTTTAACCTTTCTAGCAAATGGCAGTGCCTCCGGATCAATACTGGCTCGTCCTTCAGTAATAAGACCCTGATATCATGCATCAGATCGGAAAAGTTACCCGCTTCTGCTCTTCAAAAGTTTTGTACCAGACCACAGAATAAGAAAAGGCATAAAGCAATGGGTAACGAAACAACTAAAATGCAAGATTGATTTTGACTCCCGACTTAACCAGGGAAAATCTTTCATGAGATCCCTTTGCTGAAAAGTCATGTTCAATTGCTCGATACAAACATACCTGTGCATCAACAACCCAAAACTGACTTCGTGCACTATCAAAAGCAGTTTCGGTATTCCCCAACATCCTAGCCATCGTCTTCCTCGCGGCATTTAAAACACCTATTCCTGCACTGCAAAAATACAAAGAACATAAAAGGAATTAAGAATCCTGGAGCACCTATTCTTGGCTAACATATAAGGCGTTCTATCCAATCCAAGGAGGCAACTATCTGGTACTTCTAGTGAATGATAAGAACTACAAAATGGCATGTCAATACTCAAACATACAATTAAAAACATGTAATCCGAAGATTCTCAAAGCATGGATCAACAAAACCAACACCCATGATATTGGACAGACAACACAGAGATGGATTAATAACCTTCCAGCGCCAGCAACAACAATCTTCATCTTCGGAAAGTCAATCATTGGTTTTCCCTGTGCTCTTACAGCTCCAAGAAGACCAGCAATCGCAACCCCAGCAGTTCCCTAAGCAAGATAATGATGAAATAGTAGCAATAAGATTAATATCATTGTTTTATATCTGTAAGATGCAACAGATCAGCAGCACTCAAAGTCCTTCTGCGTTATCCTTGGGAGAGATTTCTGAATCCCTTTCCGGTTGCTATTTTAAGGCATCTGATCATATTTAATAGATTAGAAAACACAAATAAAAGTAAACACATGGGATGGCAGCTTGAGGACAGGAAAATATGATATCTAAACAGTAATCACACCTCCAGTAAATCAAGGAAAAGTACCCTGACACTTAAGGGACTAAACTCATTACCTGGACATCATCATTAAACATTCTGTAGGTGCTTCTATAACGCTGCAGTAACTTGAAAGCCCATTTGCTCTGGAAATCCTCAAACTACATATTGCAATGTTAAAGATGTGTAACCAGAAAAGCTTATCAAGTTCAAGCTGTAGAGTCACATACGAAGCTTGTCTTACCTGCACAATAACATTTGGCCAGCGAGTAAACACAGCCTCCATGAATTCATCAATCACTGAAAGATAGTCATCACCATCTAAACGATGTTGTTGCAGCCCCAAGTCTGTCAACAAAAGAATGTCAAAGAAGTTATCCATAGCAGGACCAGATAAAAGAATAAACCCTAGTAGAGCTTTCTGCCCTATGAAAATCCCTAAACCATCAAGTATAGATAATAATATATGGTACAAGCTGATGACATTGGTTGAGCGACGACAAACCAGAATTCATTAGCTAAATTGACAGCAGAACATAACGTCTCCTGACCACCCTATCAACATTATTTGTGTTATGTGCATACATATCTATACACCAATGTTAAATTTCCATCTGTTGCAATCTTCTTTAAAAAAAGAAGATACAATTCTTAAACATCGGTTATCAGTTTATATGTAAACAAGGAAGCAAGAAAATTACTCTGCGATAATCACATAGCAATTTATAACTTCAGAGAAGAAACAGAGAGAGCAAGAGAATCTTACACAAGGGATCCTTGAGGAGTTTTTCATTGTTAGTTCCAATGTCAATCATGACAGGGAGTACCTAGCGTGACCAATAAATAAGTTACCGCTACAGCATTGACAAAGCTGTTAAGAGCAGAAGACTAAAGGAAAACAAGGTATTGGTGCAAATATAATTACCCGCTGGGGATTTATTCCGGCTGCAGCAACATATAGATCAAGCTTGCCTATAGCGATCCCAATTCCGTGAACCCCTAGATCCCCAAGACCCAAAATTCTGCTTCCATCAGTAACAACTATCATATCGACCTGAATTTTAGCGGTAACATGATATGTTAGTAATTTAACAGCCATTAAAAGGAGATACCATTTCCATGGCATACACAAGAGGGACCAAAACAAACAAAGCCGAGGTTGACAAAATTAGAAGACCTGTTCAGCTGGCCAGTTGTAAACCATAGACATCATTTCTCCACGATCCTCAGCGCTGAAATACATTCCCCTTGGCCTCCTAAACAGACCACTATAGTTTTGGCAGACGAGACCGACCGTGGGAGTATACACTATAGGCGCGTATTCCTCGATGTTGGCAATCAAAACCTAACACAACATTTGCAAAACCAGTGTAAAGCACCTTCCTCTGATATACAAAATGTGTAACTCATTCCGCCATGGTTTTGACAGTGAAGGAAAAGAGAGTTGACCTTGTAGTACATGGTCTCATTGCGGTCATGCAAACGGTTAAGGATACGCCACTTAGCCAGAGCATTAGGGTCAGAGGGTCCATCCCTTGCTTGCTCCTCAAGCCTCTTGAGGTCCGCCACTGTTGAGTTGAGACAAATGGTAAGATAAACAACAGTGATAAACCCTAAGATTCTCAAGGAGTTGAAAGTTAAGAGAGACGGAATTACTGAAGCGCTCGATTTGCTGCTCAGGGGACATGACATTCGGAGGAAGGAGCCCCCTCAGGTCAAGACGGTCCCTCTCAGTCATTGAGAAGGCAGTTCCCTACATCGATCACCGTAGATACACAGTTTGATACGTATACACACAAATATAGCCTATGGAGTAGATCTGGACCGAGAAGCAGGAACAGAGGAAGGGGGGGGGGGATGGAAAAGAACCTTGTTGAACCAAGGATCGTGGAGGATGTCAAGGCTACGCTTGTGGACGATGGTGGGACGGTGGCCCTCCGTCGTAGTGAAACATCTGCGGGATTCGCCGATTATCCTCCGTCTCAGGCATCTGGCGAGAGCCATCGATATCCGGAGCTTATCTCCAGCGACCGCCATGTCCGAATTCCTTCGACAGGAATCGGATCGGACAGCGATGATGATCAGAAGCAGAAGCAGACTGCGAATAAAGGGGAAGGAGGACCTTTTTAAAATTATTTTTGGTTAATTTGAAACTATTTTTTTCCCCTTTCTAGTCATAAGACCGTGGCTTTCGTCTAGATTCTTTCCAGACAGGGTCTACAACTTAGTAACTTACAGCATCGGTGTCGAATGCTTGGTTTTTACCACTGAATTCTATTTCGTTTCCAAGACTTGTAGGAAAACAGCGACGATGAATCACCAAAAAACGAATTTTATAGCGAAATTTGTTAATATAATATATATATTTACAGACCAGAATCGAAATCTCTAATTTTTTTTAACACTCTCTATATGTTTTCACAATTACAACAACCAAAGTAAAAAAGTAATAAAAAAGAGGATCTAATGGTGGCCAGTGATTGATTTAAGATGTGACAAAATTACCTTGAAGTTTTGGGTTCGAAAGGGACACAAGTAATTACGTGACTAGAAACTGACTCTAAACCAGACGATTAAGTGGACCGAAATTCCAATTTATTACAACAGTTTTTTGTTTTCAAGTAACAAATAAATAAAAAAAGTCATAATCAGCCATTTCATTGGCAGTAGAACATGACACGCTTAACGTTCTCCTTGAGAGAGGGAAGGGGACCTAACGGCAGCACCCAGACTTGGACCACGGGTGCTAGTCCACTCGCCATCGAACCACTGTCGGATGTCTCTGGCTCCATGTAGAGGCGAGCCCTAAATGCCGCCGGATGTGCCGTAGCATGCCGGGTGGTACTGCCCATTGGAAGGCTACGACATTTCCGGAATCACACCAATTCTGCCTTTTGTCGTGCACTCAAACTCATAAAGGCCCCTCTTCGTCAGCTAAATGCAAATAGATTCAGCAATATCACTCAAAAGGTAAAGGCTGAACATCAAAAGTTGAAAAAGCTCCAACGAGCCCTATCCCCCCAGAATCGGCTATAGAGGCAGAGAAAAAGCAGAGGAAAATCTTGTTAGAGTTGGTATCAGCGAAGGAGTTGTTCTTCATGCAGAAATCTCGGATTCGTTGGCTACAACATGGGGATAGAAATACCAGTTATTTCCACAAGGTAACGAAATCTCAAACATCAAGGAACCACATCCATTACCTGATGGACAACCAAGGGAATAGGCTCGATGATTCTGAGGCTATTAAATCACATGCAATGGAGTTTTTCCTAAGGATTGATTGGCACCCGAGATGCCTCAGTTCAAGCCCCATCTTCATCCTGGCTAGCTAAGTTACTTAACCTCCAAGGCCCCTTACCCGATATGGATTCACTTACAGTCATTCCGAGCTTGGAGGAAATAAGGTCAACATTATTGGGTATTGTTAGTTTAGGTGCTTTATGATGTTCTACGATATGAGTACTGATACTTTTATCATATTGACATGTCATGATTGTTTTAATGCATGAGTGTTTAAATTCGTTATTTGTTTCGTATACTTGATAAATAATGATATCCGTGGTTCGTTATGAACGATCCTAAACTCCCTCGTCGTGTATCATTGAGGGATTGATGATATACTAAAACTAGCATGACGTATGATAGATGATCATGGGGATGGTCATGTGTATTGTGATCACATCATCTTTACTTAGAGAATTTTATAAGTGGATTGAGATCTTTATCATCGGATAACGGGTCAAAACCCATTTAATCCATTTTAAAAAATTATCCAAATGGACTAATCCATTTGGATTTATAAGTGGGTCGGGTTGGGTTGACCCATATAACCAGACCCATTTTGACATCTCTACCTAGTAGATTGCAACAACTAAGAAGACACACTTGCATAGTTTAAAAAGAGATAACATTGTATAAAGAAAAGTGCTCGTTTGAAGGGATCTTAAGTGTATATGGGCGTGCGAGTTGAGTGTAGAATCTGATTTGAGAGAGTGAACGTGAATAAGATACGTGAAAACTCTTCAAGAGATCTAACTCGGGTTTAACCCGTTGTTGCATGCACCTTTATTTGGATCAGAAGAAACACGTGTCATTTAGAGATTTATTTTAATGCAGGTTGAGTCAAGATTATGTTCAGTACGTATACGGTTCGGATTCAGATCGGAAATGATTCGGTTCGGTTTTTTCGGTTATACAAAAATATGTACCTACCGGTTATTATATCATATTTGATTCGGTTCGGTTCAGTTTTGGTTCCGGTTTTTATTAAGAAAATTTTAGAATTTTTTTTAAAAAATTTCGAATTTTTGGGTTTTTAAAAATTCGGTTCGGTTCAGTTTAGAAACGGTATCGTATTATTCGGTTCGTGCAATTGGGTAAGGAACCGTGCCTTCAACTCGTACAAATGAATATAGAAATTCATGATGTTTTGATCCGATAAACGTAGGCATGGCCAAACCTGGTTAAAACTTGTGTGTCACTTTATATATTGCATTCTTACATTTTACATTTCTTTTATAATTTAGCCTTTGAGCATATAATATATAGAACTTTCATTTCATGGCATGTTGTGGCTGTAACCCACGTCTATATCTCGAATCGTATCCAAAATTTTTGGACGAAAGGATATATAAAACAATATTTGTTGAGTACATATGATAATATAAAAAGACCCTATTCATGTATATTTGATATATATGATGGTTAATTAAATTATAATCAGTATATATTATACACTAGAATGACATAATTATTCTTCATTTGTTTATCTTTGTTTCATAATCATTTTGTATATTGTATATGTGTCCGACGACATAATTACGGCGTTTATTTTACATATGAGAATCTAAAATAGTTTATAGAACTCACAAAATGTAATGTGTGGGTTCGAATTCCAGATATGGTACTCCCCTTGAGCCGGTCATCTTTACGAAGCTGGTTTACCTGTTCTGCGTAGTTTGCCGGCTACTGCATAGGGCGGTGAGTTTTTTCAGGTCCGCGATGCTGTCCTGATGCCGTTCTCGTCCGGTCTATGGGCTGAGAGGCGTTGCGGTGTCCGGTGTCCGACCCGAAAGGTGGTAGGACAGAGGTTTCCCATCGTAAAAAAAAAAAAAAATTATATGGTAACTACTACTTTAAATAACAAACTTATTTTTCCTTTTGTTTGTTCTCTACTGTAGATTCATTCGTCAAACAATAGGTCGATGGTTTGTCACATGATAGACGCTAGGGTTTGAATATTTTCAAAACACGTGTTGGTGTTTTTGCACGATTATATATATATATATATATATCTATGTTGGGTTAATAATAATATAAAATAAAATAAAAGTAAATGTTTTGACGACAAAAAAACTTCTATATATATATATATATATAATTGGTGAATATTGAAGCCAATTGAAAAGAGGGACTTGTGAGTAACGTTTGTCAAGAATCTCAGTAAAGAAAAAAAGCGAAAGATGTGGAAAAGAAAAGAGAGAAAAGTGGGGCCATGTGTGTTTGTGTGGAAGGGGTTTCCATCTTGTTTATGTATGCATACAAACGAAGCATATATATATATATGACCTATCTGATACACACGATAAGCATAATCAAACCCAAAAAAATATCAAGCTGGTCTGAGCGAAATGGCTCCGGTAGGGCTGCCTCCGGGGTTCAGGTTCCACCCGACGGACGAGGAGCTGGTGAACTATTATCTGAAGAGGAAGATAAACGGGGAGGAGATAGAGCTCGACATCATTCCGGAGGTTGATCTTTACAAATGCGAGCCATGGGAGCTGGCCGACAAGTCTTTCTTGCCCAGCCGGGACCCCGAATGGTACTTCTTCGGCCCCCGCGACCGTAAGTATCCCAACGGGTTCAGGACGAACCGGGCCACGCGAGGAGGGTATTGGAAATCTACGGGGAAAGACCGGAGGGTTACGAGCCAGAGTCAGAACCGAGCCATCGGGATGAAGAAGACGCTCGTTTATTACAGAGGGAGGGCTCCTCAGGGCATCCGTACCGATTGGGTCATGCACGAGTACCGCCTCGACGACAAGGACGATCTCGACTCCTCCCCCCTCCAGGTACCTCTCTCTCTCTCTCTCTCTCTCTCTCTCTCTCTCTCTCTCTGCATATAATCGTCGTATATATACACCTACACAAACCACTTTCTTTATGAAATTAATGTAAAATGCACCGTTTAACTACACATAAACTACACTCTCCATACGTTACACAGTTCATTGGATATATAGGTTATGCATAAGTGGAGGAATCTTCCAAGCACAGATTAGGGTTTCATATATATTTATATAGTTTTGCAGTTTGTATTAATTTGTTCAGACAACACGTTGTATTTTACCGCCATGAATCAATTCGTAACTTCCAAAAACATATTCACGCCATCTTTTTTTTTTTAACCTCGTGTTAAGATTTCACTATAATATTGTTGGAAAACACATTTGAAAAGTCCACATGCAAAAACAAACAAAGTCCATCTTCCGTCGAAGAAGGCCAAAATCTCAGTATAGAACAATCAAGGAGTACTCTACATACGATGATTGTTAATGGGATATATACAATATACAGATGCGTATATTGATTCCTAATTTTAAAGAAACGGTGTTTGTTGGTTTTCTCAATATATATATATATATATATATATATATATATACATAGATATATTATACATGGGTCCCCGTAAAATCACGTTCGGAATTTAGTATGTTTTCCGCTCTCTTTTTTTTTTAATATATAAGGGCAAACCGTGGAAGTGCATGGCTTGCGTACGTAGAAAGAATCATAAGCGATGAAGTGCATGCTTTCAGACTTTTTTTATAAAAAAAAAATCTATATTTTTTGTGTGTGTTTTAATATTCATATATATATATATAATATGGAATGCATGCTTTAGATTTAGTCGTCACTTTATTTTTTATATAGGTATTTATTTGTTGTTTGTAAATATATATATGTATATATATATATGTGTGTGGATATCATGAATATATGTAATGAGCTGACATATTCGTTCCTTGTAAGCTGACAAAGTTAAGCCTTCGCTTTGGCTTTACTGCAACAAGATAACAGAAGCCAAATCACAAACTTCCCATATAATGACAACATTGACATCCCTTTCTTTTTCTTTCTTGCTTTTCCCTAATTAACTTTTTCTATATATATATATATAAATTTCATTACTTCGCATTGTGAAATTAGAACGATTAATCATACAGAACGAAGACACGTAAAATCATGCCACGTTGCTGTGGCTTACTGATTATAAAACAACGCAACGATTGCTGACGTGAATGAATGGTGTGATTTTGTGGACTGTCGTACAAACACCAGATATTTACTATTTTATTTTCTTTCATCGTTTATTGCATGCGATAGAACTTAAACTTATTATCCATCATGCCTTATTTTCTACTTTATATGAAAGGTTATATCATTATAAAAGGTTATTTATTTTAGTGCCCTTATATAGTGTTCAAAGGATCATATGGTACTGAAGAAAAACTTATGTCTATCTAATTTGTGGTGTGTACGTTATATACACGCACGCACACACAATATACGCAAGGGAAACATGGATTGGGATTGAAGAAGAGATGTGGATGCAGGATTCGTATGCGCTGTGTCGAGTATTCAAGAAGAACGGAATATGCTCGGAGGTGGAAGATCAACAGCAAAGAGGGGAATGCAGCAGCTTCACGTTAATGGAGAATTCCAACAACGAATACGAGACAATGTCCTCAGCTTGTCCCGAAGACGACGACAAAGATGACTCCTGGATGCAATTTATCACTGACGACGCATGGGACTCCAACGCTTCAGCCGCCGTCATGGGTTCCGACCACGGCCATGGCCATGGCCAAGGTGTGTATTAATTTTAACTTTATAATTTGAGGTTGGTGGGCAAAAAACAGCTAAATAACGTCACTAGATATATGCTATTTTTATGGTATTTTCTTGACAGAATAAGACATTTCGTCTTATGGGCATTTGCTAATTATGGTTATATTATACATACGGCAACATGTGTTCTTCTGTGTCGTCGAACATTTTCTCTCTCCTTTCTTTTGACCCTTCGGCTGATTGGACGGGGCCTTGGATTTTTCTTTATTGTCACGTGGGTGTAATGTAAAGCAGTGCAAAATGAATGGAAATTGGGATTTTGCAGAACATACAATTCAACTCAAGTGTCTAACTGTTCACCTAATTTGACAAAATACCATATTGTCTTTTTTTTTTTGGCTGGATGGGTCCCATTAGGCACGAGTAAGGAAAAGTTAAAAAAAAAAAGAAAAAAAAGAGGATTTGATGATTTGTAAATGACAGATTCTGGATACCAGACTTGCGAGCAGGGACTGGGAGATGCCCTTTTGCCTTACCAACTGTCAGATTCTCTCAGTTTCTGCTTGCTTCTAAATGTTGTCCCATCTGTCTAAATCTTTAAAAACAACATTATTTACACTGAGAAGCATTCTCATGTCTGCAACAGAATCTCGTAGATATCTGTCCTTATGTTCAACTCCTTGTCCCGCATCACCTCTTGGATATCTGACATCTCCTTTGCTGTCAGAACTGACTTCAGCCTTGCGAATCCTTCAAGCCATAGCTTTTTCGACCTGCCCAAATTTCAACACAGCCCCCCTCTTGCGTTAGGATATGAACCCTTTCTAAAGAATCTGGAGCTGGAGCAGACAAGGCTAGATCGGTCCTCTTTTCTTACCATGGGCACGCGTTTATAGCTCGGAAATAAACTCGTCTAGCCGCAGATGGATCACGTCCAATCTCGATCTCGTACGCAATGTAGCAACGCCACAGAAGTACCGAGTTACTTAGTGCATCTTGTGACAATGCCCTCTCGAACAATCCACGAATTCTGTGGCGGGAGCCTCCTCCATTCATCTCATACGACAGCGCAAATAGCCAAACAACCAAAGATGGTTTCCTACTTAACACACATGTGACACTAGCTTAAGCATTTAGAGTATCCCACGTAGATAAAGAAGATCACAATGCCCTAACTAGTTGGTTAAGCCTCCAAATAGATTCTTATGGAATAGAATATCAACATTATTTTCAATGAAACTAAGAGCTATTCATGCATAATTTTAACACCATCTTCGAGTTTGCACCAGATAAAGTGACTGGTGGTGACAGATTATAGCTGAGAAACGGGTTAGAGGGTTTAGGGAATCGGAGCTTACTTGCGCGAGTAGTCATCAAACATCATCCTCAGTTTGTGGGATGTCATACGATGATGGCAGATCTCCACCAAGGCTCGATAAAGCTCCGGATTGAGAGGATATAGTTGTAGCCCCTCCGAAATGGGTGTCAACAGTTTCGAAAAGCTTAAATGGTCTTGATATCGGTGAACCATTCTCACGTAGTAACTGATCAAAAGTTCAAGGTGGTGACTTTGGCTTTTTCTACCTGTAAAACCACAAGGACCCAAACTTTATGATGGGAAACAAAACCAGGTGATACTTAACTAAGAGATCTTGATATCAAGTAATTCATTGATCCTGGAAACGATCATGGATATTAGTTTAAAATTTATTGAAAAAACTCAAATAATTAAGGAATTCAAACAACCTGGAAGAACAGCACTAAATGCTTCGTCAAGGATCTCAACAGCCCCAGAAAAGCCATTGGTCATCTCTTCAAACAATGCTGCTGAACAAACAGTGGCAGCTGACTGATCGTCTATGATACCATGAGCCCATGTTGATTGTATCTTCTTAAGCTTCTCTTTGAACCCTTGGCGCGCTCTCAGGAGTTGCACGCTTGATGGTTGGCAATTATAAGGACTATACGTCCGATCACTTCCCACGCAGCACAAGATGTGGATGGCACGAGATGATGATTCTTTTTCCTGAATTTTGCCGCTACTATTAGCCACTTCAGATTCGGCATACCATAGATACAGCAGAGGAGCCTTAGACTGCATCTCCTGCATACATACATAAAATCAACTTAGTAAAGCATTTTTTAAATATTGAATAGTATGCAAACAACCCAACAAATCAGATTCCCACTAGATATCTTTCAAGGAAAAAAAGAAAGAACGTAAAAGAAACACGAACCAAATGAAGTATCCTATAGTCAGAAATCAAGTATGGGGGCACTTCCTAAATCGTCAGCCAGAACATAGACTGTGCACTTTAATGAACCTTACTATAAAGTTTGTGTGCAATCACAATCAACCAAAGCACAACTTAGTAGGTGTACTGGAATGCAATCAGGAAGCATGTAGACTTCCCATAATATACAATGCAATCATCAATGACTAACTCAGAAAGAATAATAGAATCTAACCACAGTGAGCCCACTAATAGAAGACAGTGCCATATCAAACACCCGTCTTGCGTGATTCATATTGCCAGAAACAACTTCTCTCCGTGCATAGACTCCACAGAGCAGAAAATCCTGTCAAGGAAACGGTCAGTTAAGATAAAAATCAATAGTGGGGTAGAGCAGAAGGAAACAAATCGAAACGCAAATCACCTGCCGATCACTTTTCAGGAGGCGCTTTGCCAGAGCTTGACATGGGGTAGTTGACACCTCACATGTTCTCATATTTGTTACAAAGAGTTCTTCTGCAACAAGCACAGCTTCTTCGAGAATGTAATTTCGTGGAAAGACGGTCAAACAAAGCAAGATTGCATTGCGAAGAAACTTCATCATCTTGGTCCTCATAGAGATGTCACCGGTCCCACTTAAAAGGAAAACCAGACTGAAGTCATGCCCATTTTCTGATTTCATTAAATCCTCATGAGCCCTTTTCAAATTCTCTAGCGCGGAACCTACCAAGGTTTCCATACTGTTCATTTTCTCAGTCCACCACACACTGTTGCTGGAAGTCCATGGGGACATATGCCCACCAAAGAAATCAATAAACTGGTATAACAGAGATAAGCGGGCCTCCGCTGAACTTAACGAAAATAGATATTCACTAATATCTTCATACAGGACAATGCTTGATATTTGGTCGTCAATTTCTCCATCAATTGTTTCATCAATGTTGGAGGTTTCACCTGTTAAAGGATGATGCAAAGTTAACACATGTATGACATATAGGACTGAAGATAAATTTGCAATCCAAATCCATCAAACATATCTATTGAGGCACAGATCTAGCTCAGAATCGAAAAGGAAAAAGTTGATCCACCACTCAGAGGTGCACAAAAAGGAGATATGGACTGAGGAAAGATACTAAGATAATGATATAGATAGATACCAGCTTTCCGGACGGGCATCCATTGATTGTGATCCCGAGAAACCTCTTCCTCAAACCATTTAACCCAAGTTGAAGTATCTTTAACCTCATCAGTGTCCCCAGCTTTAACATCAATCCCTAGAAGCTTTAGCATAGCTTCAGTATCATCTTCAAGTTTGCTATTCTCATGTTCCACTTCCTCCTCCAGACCTTCTGGAGGCACATCACTCTCTCCTGCATTAACTGGTGAGATAACACCTCCTTTTTGAGCTGATAACGGTTCTGTCCAACCTGTCCAACCACCTGCATCATCATTATCAGAGGATTCCTCTCTCAAGATCCTCTGCCTATTTTCCTCCTCCTTTTCCAACCACAAAGACCAACCGAGAGCTCCTTCTTCCCCAACTCTAGCACAATTACTACTCCAGTAATGCTCAAACAGTCTTTGTTTACTCTGTTCACTTAGCAACAAAGATGGAGAAAAGATGCTAAATTCTATTTCGGCCTGAAATAACGCAGTGGCTAACTCCTGATAACCAGCCTGCCATTCAAACCTGCAGAGGCTAACTAACATATCAACTAGAACGAGTTCCTGCTGGATGACAGCTTGATCCAACGGTTCAGAAGTTATGTCAACCTGCATAACCCAAAAAACAGCATCAGGCTGAAAATTTCCAGCTCCTAAGCAACATATTACGGATAATGCCCAGTGACTAAGGCTAGTGGTACAGAACAAAGGATAACAAAGTATCAGAAATAAAACAGATAAGTGCATGGAACAAGCTGCAAAGAGATAGATGCATCGGAACTTAAAAAGGAAAGCACATGTGTTGCAATGAACTTTTCAAAACTTAGCACCATACTAAAACGAGAACCTGCCTATGTCGCTTGCTGGAAGCATGAGAAAGAGCCCGGAAGGCATGGGAATACATCTTCCTCACTTCTGAAACTTTGAATCTGGAGAACTCTCCCTGCAGAACACGTAGAAACTCCCTCCACAATTTGTAGCTAGTCGAATGCTGCATCAGTGCCTTTTCCCATTTACCAACTAAAACATCTGCATTGTCTCTGCTTCGATACGCCTTGAGAAGGGCAATCAACAGATCTTCGCTATCTGGGTTCAGTTGAAATGCCTTCTCAAGTATGCTAATCTTCTTCTCCAAAGTCTGCAAGCGAACTCCTTTCTGCGGTTGCATATTTGAAACTTTGTCTTGGAACTCAGCAAATGCAAGCCACGCCTTCTCATCATGGGGATGTTCCCTCGTCAATCTGTTGAACTCGCGGGTTTTATTCAGAACTTCGTCCTCCCACGACGCTTCTATAACTGAGCTCTTTGATAAAGCATCGCCATCACCACTTTCCTGAGGCGTTTCAGTATCCTCCAAAGGAATGAAATAATCAAGAGAAGCATCAGCTGTCTCTCGAGGAGAAGAAAAACGGGCACGCTTGAAATTCTTATTGCCTTCGAGAGCTGCATATTTTGCAGACCAGTATCGACCATTAGACTTTGCTCTCACGTCCAATGCATCAACATCGTTATCTCTATCAAGCATAGAACTTTTTGGGAACCGCAAATAAAACATCTGAGAACATGATCCAAGACTTTTGTCAGGATTGAAACGTTTATAACGAGGAATATCCATCCTGCATCATAAAAACAGGAACAGGTTGTCAATATCCTACACTCTAAAACGCATAAACACAGAGGGTCATCCTGGATTTATAGGAGGAGATAGAGAAAGCAGTGAACCTATAAATGGAACCATAAACGAGATTATCATGATCAGGACGAGTGTCCATGTAATAATCTTTGGCAGGTTTCGGATAGTATTCCTCGGAATCCTTAACGGAGGATTTCCTCTTCCGCTTCTTCTTCTTCTTCCGCCGCTTCCCAACTTCTTCGTCGCCGTCGGACTCCCCGGAGGATCCATAATCTTCTCTTTCGACTCCAACCAAATCGTAAGACCTAGGTTTCTTAGCTTCATCATTCTTGCCATCAGAATCGCCATCTTCAGTTTCATCAGCGGTATCCGCGTGCGCATCCTCGGGAACGATGGCGTTGATGATGGCGGGATCCACAGTGAAGCTAGTGTTGGAAAGCCATTGGGGAGCGCCCGAAGTGGCAGAGATGGAGTTCGCCGGACTAGAGAATAGAGGGAACAGACCACTACTGTGTCCGCCGCCTCCGCCTTCGCCGTCGCCGTCTGGTTTCGTCGCCATCAGGAATTGGAACCAAATCGATTTCGTGGAGGGCCGCAGATGTGTCGTACGTACACCAGCACTGGCTCATGGACCGGAGCTTAATTGTATTTTGGGCTCAAAGCCATAATAATGTTTAGGCCTTTTGTTATTGTATACTTTTATTGGGCTCCTTTTGAGCCCAACCGTGATTTGATTTTGCATCTCTTAATTTTATTTTTAAGATAAATAGTTGTTGTTTATGCGGCGAAAAATTTTATAATTACACTGTTTTAAAATTGATTTTTCAATCTAAATATTACTTAAAATTTTCAATAAATACACGCGCATTGTGTGACGAAAATTTTGGAAATTGTAAATGGATGTTTGCCATCCGTTGTAATTATAATTATGGATATTATCGTTGATAATTTTTATTTTGAGTTTTTAGTTTTGGGATTTTAATTTTTAGTTTTTATAATATTTATAAATTCAAAAAAAAATTGTTTTAGTTAATTTTTGTACTCAATTAATTTTCCGAATTTTTAGAAAAACTAAATTTATAGAATCTTAATTGTTAAACTTTTTTAGATTCTAAAAACTCTACCCATTGGACCTTTATATTTTAATTTGCCATTGAGTTGTTTCAATAATGATTTGGTACGTTAAGGTATGCGGTTACTGTGTCCGACCCGAAGGTTATAGCGTAGATTCCGAATGTATCAAAATAATAATAATAATAATAATAATAATAATGATGATTTGGATTCCCACTCCCTGCATGCATGCACATACTCATCAGATAGGATAGGATATTAGTCAATTTGAAACTATTTTTACTCAAAAATACTATGTATTTTATGGTATAAACTTCTATTATGATATAAAATCTAAATCAGGAATATCAGGAAGGAAGCTGGAACATTTCATGTAAAAAAGAAAAGAAAATAATATCTGTTGATAAAAACATAATGGAGAAGTACGTAACATGATTCACACCAAAAACAAAAAAAAAAAAAGGTACGTAACATGATACATTACATGTAAGTATATGTGTTTGGTTAAGAATGGAGAGGGAGAGACGCAAAGTTCTCCATGAGAACCTTATTACTACAGAGAGAGAGAGAGAGCTAACATACACCATTTCGCTTGTGGTTGACAAGGCGTCGCCAATACTTGGTAATATCCTCCAAGGACAGCTTAGAAGAAGGGTTCTTAACCTCCTCCTCCTCATCACCAACAGCGACGGCGGCAGCAGCAGCGGCAAGATGGGCAATGCGGCTGGGAAGTGCGTCAATCTCCTTGAGGACCTGCCTGATGTGACAGATGAGCCTCTCGGCCAGGCTGCGGCTGAAGTCCTCCCTTATCACCACCCGGAGCACGGCGATGTGCTGAGCGTCTGCAGGCATGGTGTAAGCCGGTATTATCCACCCGAACCTCCTCAGACTCTCCGCTATCTCAAACACGGTGTGCTTGCTGCTGTCTTTCAGTGAAAACGCTACCAATGGCACTCCCATCTCCTTCGACAGAATCTTGAACCTACCCGTCTCCTCTATCCCTTCCCTCAGCCTCCTCGCGTTGTCCAAACAGTTCTCCATTATGTTCTTGTACCCCTTTCCATCATTCATTTGTTCCAATATACATAGATAATAAGCTTCTTGCTTTTCCCGGATAAACGAAGAAGAGGGTATGAAGGAAACGAGAGACAACCTCAAAGCCTAGCCGGATGAACTGGTAGTACTGAGCAACAATCTGGCTTGATCCTGCAAAAGATTCAAGAGTTTCGCTATTACCGCAAGGAGATACGTGATGATCGGTGAAAGGGTGATTGGTTATTGGCTGACCTTTGGAGAAGTTTAGAGTGAAGGTAGGCTGATCAGCCCCCAGATAGTTGATACGAAAGACGAGGTCATCTGGTAGATCATCCTTTGTCCTCCACACTATCCAACCAACACCTGCATAGACAAGCCCATACTTATGGCCGCTGACATTGATGCTCTTCACCCATGGCAGCCTAAAGTCCCATTCTAATTCTGGATACACGAACGGTGCGATGAACCCCCCGCTCGCGGCATCGACGTGAATAGGGGTGTCCCATCCAGTCTCCTCGTTCTTCTGAACGAGGAGATCGTTCAGCTGCTTCACATCCTCGAACTCCCCGGTCAGAGTGGATCCTAGAATGGCTGCAACACAGATTGTATTCTCATCCACCATCTCTACAGCTTTCACAGGGTCCATCACATAATACCCTTCACTCAGGTTCACCTCCTTCAGCTCTACCTCGAAGTACCTCGCAAATTTCTCCCAGCATACCTGGCATGATACGTTGCATATATGTATATGCAAGATTGAGACCCAGAATAAAACAAAACAACGGTTGGACAGTGACAAATGATGTTCTTAGACCTGAACGTTGGCTCCAGTTACGATGTTAGGCTTGTCAGTAGGTAAACCTTGAGCTCTTCTCCTCTGTTGCCATTTCCTTTTGAAAGCTAAACCCGCAAGCATTATTGCTTCCGATGATCCAACGGTCCCGCAACCGACAGCACACTCGTCTTCCCCAACGGGAGCATGGAACAGATTAGCAATCATGTTTACGCACCGATTCTGTGGAATCGAATTAGAGATTAAAAAAAAAGAAGAAGAAGAAAGATTATATTTTTGGGAGGCGTTCTTGATGATACATATATATATATATAAGCATTGGAAGGGCATAAGGAGAGTGGGGAAAAGAGAGAAGAGAAGAACCTGGAGCTCGGTGGTGACAGGGTATTCATCCATGTCGACATAGTTCTTATTGACGGAATCCATGATGAGTTTGTCACATTCAGGTTCCATCCAAGTCGTAACAAAGGATGCCAGGTTCAGCCTCGGATTCCCATCAAGCATCAGCTCGTCGTTGATCACCTGATAGGCTGCGTCTTTCGGCATCGACTTTTCAGGCATCTTGAATCTGTTTCCACAAACATTACATCCATGTATATATAGAGACACACATAAACATCACATCCATATATATATATATAGAGAGAGAGAGAGAGAGACCTGGGAACAGCAGCACAGACATATCTGGAAGCGAAAGTGGAGTGGAGATGTTCTTCGGAGTCGGGTACTTTGGTGGAGAGAACCATGGCTTTGAGCTGGCCTGAGAATGGAACAAGAGAGGAAAAGGGATGTTTGTCATTTCAACCATTATAAAGAAAGAGAGAGGGAAGCTCTTGTCAACTATTTTAAGACAGCCACATAACTGACTCCTCCTTTTCCTCCTTGTCTCTCTCTCTCTCTCTCTCCATTTGAATTGGCCTTTGGTACTAACCATTTGATTTTTTTCCCATAAAAAAAATCAAGAACACGAAATTCTCTGATATATTTCGGACCATCCAATATTCAATCATCTCAGAAATTTTAATGGCATACCCAAGACCTTTGACCTGCTAGAACATAAGAATCATGGTCAAATAGACAAAAGACAGGATCCACAAAGTCCAGCTTCTTGTGGGTTATGACTTGCGATGCAAGCAATGAATGTAGAGATTTGGGCCGCCGTATCATACAATTGGGCCTGAAAATCCAAAGTTTGTTTAGTTGGGCCCATGAATATCAGCCGCGTAAAAAACGTGGCTACTTTTTTTGTTGTTGTTGGAGTGTCGAACAAAAAACATCAATCAAGATCCAGAACGAAGAAGAAGAGGAAAATGGCGCTGCAGTGGTTGATTCTGTCGTACGTCGTCGCGGCGGAGGCCGCCGTCGCAGTCATCTTGACCTTGCCGTCTCCGAATCTCATCAAGAAGCGCATAGTTTCTCTTATCTCTCTCATCCTTCAGCCTGCTGTCTCCATCGTCCCCTTCGCTGGATTCCAGCTCCTGGGTTCACCTCTTTCTCTCTCTCTTTCTTCTTTTGTTACTCTTCCACTTAGGTCGTTTGATTTTCGCTCTTTCTTGTTCGGATTCGAACTGTATGTTTTCTGATTTCTATTGGGATGTGGTTTCCTTCCAGATATTTACTGGAAGAACGAACACAGATTGATGTGCACATCTGAGGTCTGCACTGCTTCGGAGCGGGATCACTACGAGAAATCCGTAAGTATCACGACCAATAGTTCTATGTGGAATTGATGATAGTTCCCTCGTCCGGGATTCTACAGTTGATATCTGAAACCATGTGAAGATGAGATTTGAGCTTTTGGAGGTTCCGTAGCTCAGTTCTATTATCGTCATCATCATCTTCGAAGATTAAAACCGTTAGGAACAAACAGCTGGCTTTCAAATCAATCAATCTGCATATTTGGCTGTAAGATGTTGATTGATGCGCATATTCAGCCCACTAAGATTGGACTTGAATCTTTCTGTTGATAAATTTGGATCGGACAAGAGAAAAGAGGGGTTTTGTTTTTGAAGAATCTGCAAGGAATTCTTCCTTTAGATTGGTTTATGGCATTGTGAATCTTTTCAGTAGCTGATTTACTCAATGGGGCTGTACCAATTTAACCTTGTCCTCTCTTGGACGACTCTGCTTTGCCCTAACTCACCATACTGGAACTTTTGTCTGAATGTGTGTGGTCTTAGGAATTTCTTTGGACATAGCCATAACACAGACCTCATGTTTCTTTTATTCCTATGATACCCCAGCCGCCATTTGAGGGTGTGTTTTTCTTGTTTGACAGATCTACAAGGCTCAAAGGAACGTGGTTCTGTGTGCTATCGCAATTCTTCTCTACTGGTATATAGTATATATATTAGAGACATGTAGGAATATCGATAAAGATATACATGAGTATTCAAGTTTGTTGGTTTCCTGATTAGATTTGATCTCACTTTGTTAGCCACACATAACATATATGTATTTAAACCGATGATGGACACAGGTGCATCTACCGCGTCTGCAAGTACTACAAGGACCTCGAGAGCTTGGAGGAAGCGGAGAAGAGATACAAGGAGGAGTAGTCTCCCTATTGAAGCTGATTGTGCCTCCTTCTATTTAAAGATACTATTATCCAAAAAAACACTTAGACTATGAAACAAGAACAATTGCACAAGACGGTTTTGAAGTTGTTTGTTTCTCTATGCGACATAATTTAACGTTTCCAGTTGTTTGGGGTAACCGGCCTCGGTCTCATGGTCTTGGTTTCGTGAGATCTAAGTATCCACGGTCCATGTATCCGTGGCCCAGCAATATCTGAACCTGAAAATGTTTTTGAAATTTCGTTGATTTTAAAATGTACTTTATTAATATTATATACCAAAATAAGTTTATTTATTATTGTAAATATATTAAAATAATAAGGATATGTGTATGTAATTTTAGTATTATCCGTGTATCTATGAATCTATGACATAATTCATGTTGCGGAAAAATCACCAAACTTGTAATCGGGTTTCCGGCCTCACTATGTTCATTTTTTGCGTCTCCGATCGATATCCATTCCGATTATAATTCTCCGATCTTGATGGTCGAGATTTTATTTGAGCCGTGGAAGCTTTGTTTCATGCTGTGGACTGGAGGTTTTGTTTCATGCCGCAGAGGCATTCTTTGAGCTGTGGAGGTTTTGTTTCATGCCGCAGAGGTAGAGGCATTCTTTGAGATGTGGCCGCATTATGTCGGACTGTTCTTAAATACAATGGGCGAGAAGAAGAATCCTTTAACTAACAAATCCTAACCAAAATAAACCAAACCTAGCATTTAACCAAATACATATTCTAACAAGTTTTTTTTTGGTAAAGCCGAGATTCAAACTAATCCCGAAATCGGAAGCAAGCTATATTCAATCTCCTTCCCTAATTTGGAATTCGAATTCGGGGCGAGACAAGCGCTTTGCGTACCCGTTTCACCGGTTGAACTATCTTAGGTTATATTCTAATAAGTTCATCTTCATCATGGAGATTCTTCATCATTGAGATTTCTCTACGACACTTTCTTTATTTCTTTTGTTTGTGCATTTTTGAAAATTTTGGTGAGAAAGATCTTATTCTTCTCTCTTGCTACACTAACGAGAAAACAAAAAATAAGAACCTTAAATTACCTTAAAACAAAAAAAAAACTTGAGAGGGCAAAATAGCAAAAGTACTCTTACTTTGTTACAAAAACTTCATGACATACCCTTCAAAACCCTAGAATTTCAAAAAAAAAACTAAAACGAGCAAAAGACATAAATGACCTTATTAAAAATGACACGTGGTACAAGGAGAAGTAAAGACAGTTATTTTTCCCATGTTCTCCACTTTCCCATGAATTTAATTATTTTTAAAACAAAATTCAAAAGCTTATCTCTCTTCTCTTCATCTTTATTTCGTCTTTCTCAACAATTCTTTCTATTCTCATTTCTCAACTTTTTGATTATCATAAATCAAACAAAAATGAGTTCTCCATCGAACAAAAATCAAAGAAAGACTTCATCCGCCGATTGTATATTAGACTGAAATGCAGAAAAAAAAAACAAAGAAGTGGATATAATTTTGATAGAAGACGATGAAGAAGAACAAGAACAACCAAGAAAAAAACAAAAAACAAAACAAGTCAAAAAAGAAGAAGAGGTGGAAAAGGCTAGAAAACTCACCATGGGAGAAGTGAATCAAGAGAAACAAGTAGAACCAAATGCCAAGAAGCGACATCCTGTATTTATATGGGAACCCACCGTAGTTTCAGATAACGTGTTTCGGATAGAGAGTTTTGTCCAAACATCCACTAACAAGGCGACACTTCTGTATAATTTTATGAGGATGAATATGTTGGTTTCCTAGGATCTCTAGAGAAAATCTAATTCCTAAGAGATCGGTTCTAGGGTTTGCGCAGCGGATGTAAAACAATTTTTTTGATGAAACCCTAAAACCTATCATGCATGATCTTGTAGAAACGTTAGAACGATTACCTCAATCGATCCGGGGCCTGTATCAATTGATGTGTTCGTCCGATCACTGTAGACAGAAAGAATACCTCGTCCTCTACATGTATCCACACGGCGGAAAGGATTCCAACGGCTGTCACTCGTCTGCTAGGGTTGAAGAACGCTTTATTCTTTGCGCGAGGGTTTCAGGGATTAATCTCTTAGGTTTTCACTCTCAAAACCTCTCAAAAGGGTCTGAAAGTCGTGCCAAAGAGCTTAGGAGGCGTTCCCCAAAGTTCCTTGCCCTTAAAACCCTAATTTGGGCGAGCTAATGAAATCCCGACGTCTGGACCGATCGGTCTGGAACATTTTTCGGACCGAGCAACATTTGCACGTTACCTCTGGACTGATCAGTCTACGTCTGGACCGGTCGGTCTGGCCTCCGTTCCACCGGAAAATTCTCGTATTTTCTCGCGTGTTTGTCCCTTCATGTGTGTGTGACCTTGTAGGCGCATCCGATATAGCAGTATAACCTGAAATCTCTATTTCGGTTATACAAGTCATAGGCGGTCTCTAACAAGACACTATGACTACCTATCTCGAATAGAGTTTGTTCGTGATCTTACGAATGCCAGTGATGATTCCGTTTGATGATCCTTTTGTATCACGATATCATATGTCGAACGTAAGGCATGAACAAGCCACCTTATCTGATTCGACTGCTTTCTCGTTCACTCAGTTCGACTGTGTGAAATAGACGACGCTCGTCTATAGTGCGACCACACATTTCTACAGTCTCGCTCACACGAGGGGCCCAGTGATATCTCTCTCTTTTACGAGAGGTACAAATCCCGTCTTGACTATCTATAATCCAACACATGATTCGTTTCGTACCTGATACACGCCTTTATAGTCCTCCTGTTACGCAGGACGTTTGACGTATTCAAAGTACGCAACTCCTCATGTTGGATTCCGTAGATATCTCAAGTTTTAGGATCCAATCATGAAACCATCATATGAGATTCAAGTCATGACACAAGTCCATGTGACAATCTCATGCGGATGAATCCAGTATTCCGTTCTCCAACGAATACCTATGATTGTGATCGTATCCAATACCTATGATCATCTATATGATCATCAATCACACATCATACTAGTCTTAGTACATCATTATTCCCATAATGACATATGACTAGGGTGTTTAATAGTGTTCATAACAATACATGGGATTTCATAACATATTAAGTATGCACAACATGTAATGAATAAACACTCATTCATAAACCATAAAAAGTGTCAAGACATCAAATGTATCTAAATAAAACTTGCATAACAGTATATCATAGAGCACTAAACCAACAATCTTCCACTTGCCCTAATCATGGACTGCTAAACATCTAATGCCCATATCCCTAACATGACCCTCATGCTTCGACGAAAGGAGAGGCTTCGTCAACAGATCGACAATGTTGTCATCTGTCGACACTCTGTAAATGTGCATGTCTCCTTTGTCTATGATCTCCCTGATAAGGTGGAATCGTCTGAGTATGTATTTGGATCGTTGATGAGATCTGGGTTCTTTCGCTTGTGCGATCGCTCCATTGTTGTCACAATACAGAGCAATGGGGTTATCAGCACTAGGAATGACACCTAAGTCGCCAACAAACTTCCTGATCCAAACAACTTCCTTTGTTGCGTCTTACGCTGCAATATACTCAGCTTCTATAGTAGAATCTACAACGGTCGCTTGTTTGGAACTCTTCCAGCTAACAACGCCTCTGTTCAAGCAGAAAACATAGCCAGACTGCGATCTGTAGTCATCCGGGTCTGACTGGAAACTAGCATCGGTGTAACCCCTTACAACGAGCTCGTCTTCCGACCCACCGTATACCAAGAACACATCCTTAGTCCTTCTCAAGTACTTCAGGATGTTCTTGACGGCGATCCAGTGTGACTCACCTGGATATGACTGGTATCTACTCGTAATGCTCAACGCATAGGATACATCCGGTCGAGTACAAAGCATGATATACATGATGGATCCAATTTCCGAAGCATATGGAATCTGATCCATGCGTTCTCGCTCATCAGGTGTCGTAGGACACTGACTCTTGCAGAGAACTGTGCCACTGCTCATCGGTAAGGTTCCTTTCTTGGAATCTTGCATCGTGAACCGTTTCAAGACCTTATCGATGTAAGTACTCTGACTCAATCCTAGAAGTTGCCTCGATCTATCTCTATATATCTATATGCCTAAAATATAGGCCGCTTCTCCCAGGTCCTTCATAGAAAACTGCGTTCCTAGCCAAGACTTCACGTCTTGCAAGGTAGGAACGTCATTCCCTATTAGGAGAATGTCATCCACGTATAGCACTAGGAATACTCCCATTGACCTTCTTGTAAACACACAACTCGTCTTCGTTCTGTGAGAAACCAAACCTTTTGATTGTCTCATCGAAGCGAAGGTTCCAGCTCCTCGAAGCCTGCTTCAGTCCATAAATGGACCTCTGAAACTTGCACACCTTCCCCGGGTTTCTTAGATCGACAAAACCTTCGGGTTGTGTCATGTACACATCCTCGGTCAAGTTCCCGTTAAGGAATGCGGTCTTGACATCCATCTGCCATATCTCATAGTCGTAATATGCGGCTATGACAAGCAGGATCCTGATGGACTTTAGCATTGTTGGGATTCTTGGGATCTCTAGAGCGAATCCTATTCCTAAGAGATCGATTCTAAGGTTTGCACAGAGGATGTAAAACAAAAATTTATTAAAAACCCTAGAACCATGCTTCATATGAATCGTAGAAAAGCAAGAACGCTTACCTCAATCGATCCGGGGCCTGTATCAATTGAAGAACTCGTTCGATCACGAAAGGGAGGAAGATTACACTACAAGAAAAACTGTATATACCGACGGACGATGCGACGGAAATTCCGTCGCGTTAGATATTTGCGACGGACAACGACGGTAATGGGACGGATTTGCATCCGTCGTAACCCGTCGCGCAATCCGTCGAAAAATTTCGACAACAACCGACGGATATTTCCGTCGGTAATTTTGTCAGACGGATTGCGACGGACTGCGACCGATATTTGCGACCGAACTTTCGTCGGAAAATTATGCGACGGAGTGGGACGGATATATTGCGTCGCACAAAAGTAGCGACGGATGGGGACAGACATTTCCGTCGGCACTGCGACGGATTCGGTGCGTCGCAGGTAGTTAAACACGTTTTATTCGTTTTGACCTAATTCCGTCGCATTCCGTTGTGCGTCCGTCGCAATTTGTGGAGTCCGTCGCTTTCCGTCGCATTTCCGTCGCACTTTCCAAATCTATTTAACAACCACGCGATGGAGTCTCCATGGCAAAGGAAAAAAAA